CTCTCTCTCTCTCTCTCTCGCTCTCTGTCTGTCTCTTTCTCTCCGTTTTTTATCATCTTTCACTCTCTTTAGCTTTCTTTCTGATTTCTTGCTTTCTCTGTCTAATTCGTTTCTCTCTTATGTCTCTCTCTCTCTCTCTCTCTCTCTTTGTTTCTTCCTCTCTCCTTCTTTCCCTTCTCCCTCTCTCTCTCTCTCTCTCGCTCTCTGTCTGTCTCTTTCTCTCCGTTTTTTATCATCTTTCACTCTCTTTAGCTTTCTTTCTGATTTTCTTGCCCTCTCTGTCTAATTCGTTTCTCTCTCTCTCTCTCTCTCTCTCTCTCTCTCTCTTTGTTCCTACCTCTCTCCTTCTTTCCCTTCCCCCTCCCTCTCTCTCTCTCTCACCCTCTCGCATGGCTCGATCTCGCATGTTGCAGATCGTCGTGACGTGGCATTGGCACGACTGCCTGTGATGTACATCGCGACAGTCTTCTGTGTGTTCGGCCAGCAGAATATACTCGTCTTTTCTATGAAAAGTACAATTGTAAAAAGCGTTATTTTTACATGAAAAGTAGTTATTGCTAGCACTAAACACATCTTCAAGCTCTTGGCCGATTGATTTTAAACCTGTAAAGCACTAAAAATACAAAACTTCCAGGCAATTTGATTTTTTTTTACCCACCAAAATTTCTCACCACACCAGCAACTGTTTGTTCATACATCAGAAAACGGCAAAATAAAAAATATATAATGCAACATTTAACCATAGCGAGGGCAGAAACCCACAACTGGTTATTAGGTGGTAAATAATGGTACACGTCGTATTATTTAGAGGGAAATAGTCACTTTAATTTGTCTACAAACAGTAACAATAAATTATTATTATTATTATTATTACAGTGACAGATTCAGGATTTCGAGTGAAAATGACTGTTTAGAGCGCATGAAGATCGAAACGTTGCACGTGAAGGTGTGTATAGACTTGCCTCAGAAGATTGTGAGAAAGAATGCTCGAGACGGCATTTGAGGAACATTTACTACGTACATCATCAATAGCCTATAGCCAATTAGCTAACAGCTTTATCTTACCACAACAATTCTTTTTCATCACCCCTCTTTCTCAAGGTGTTGATAAATTATCATTAAAAATAAATACAACTAACAGTAGGGCTACATTCGTAGTTTTATTGTTAGTATTATAGAATTAACTCAATGCCACGTACGGACAGCGCGTAAATGTACTTGTTTTCACGCGCACACGACATGTCAAAATCTGGAAACAGTCCAACGTTTTAATTTTACAGAAAACATTGTAAGTGTATGATTCTGTATTTGCACGTGCGTGTGTGATTGCGTGAGTCGTATTCATACGCAACGTGTTTGCGTGTGTGAGGAATAGTCTGGGATGGCACGGCGACACGCAGTTGTTTACTGAGACTTAGTTTTGTGTCGCGATGCACTTGTTCTCTAGATGGAGTAAAAATGCCCCGTTGACATTTAGAAGTAGTTAATGCTCAATGCTACAAAAAAGCGCTCGCTGTTCTAAAGAACGAGCAATAGTACGACCGTTCCATGCATGTTATGAAACAACGTGCAGCAGTATATACCATCCAGCCCTGCAATACTATTTTTGTTTAGGACTTTAGGACATATCGTACGCTTGAACTAAATATTCTAGCCAAACATTGGTGTACAGTCAGCCACCCACCCATCCCCTATATCCGCTCTTGAATTATCATCATCATTAATTTTTTTTCGTAATAAACGGTAATCGTCGCGTTTCACATTTCATCGCGTATTACATCCATGCGCAAAGCAGACGCATTACACACACCTATATATATATATACGTAAAATATACGAATATTTATTTTCACACTCACAGAATGCACAGTCGTCCTCGTACAAATTTACATAGATACACACATACATTACATATTACATATTTACATACACAAATACTTTCACAAGTTCCACTTAAAATATTCTGTGGAAGCGCGAATGAATTACCCACTACATTACAATTCTAGTTTCTCGACACACTGTACGGCACGAAGACCTTAATCTCCATAAAATACTTTAAGTTATGTTTATTATACTCATTAATAAACACATTCTCACAGTATTATTAATTACTCAATTCATGATACTGACTATAATTTAATAGTGCCAAATGCTTATTTTGACAATTAAATATATATAGTAGTATAGGCGTATAATAGCAACGGTTAACAAAACCATTATTGGCTATGTCAGCCACGTGTGGTACAGGGACGACACCACGTAAAGGACAAATATACAAAAACAGGTTAACTGCGACATTGGTAAAGCTCATTGAAATACTCGTTAAAGTTAGTTGTGTTTCTGGTTACAAAAATGATCTACTTGCTAAAACGTGTATATATATATATATATATATCCAAATATAAAACGTTAAATAAATCTATCGCTAATACTTGATTTAAATTGCTGCTAAGCACAAGCACTAAAACCTTTATAATTCATGTAAACAAAGTTAAGTCCACAAGCACAAATAAATTTAAGCCTGGCTATTTTGCCCTTCGTGTAAGCCCAACAGACACTGCAGTGACTGCACACAGTTAGAAAACCTCAATAGTGAAATTTAATGGAGTACACTGTAATGTTGAATAGCGAGGATATGTCGAGGAGAGCAACAATTAACCAGAGAAAGCGTTTAGTTCGGCATGGAGCTACAAACCGAAATATAACACCGTTTAAAATATAAGCCAGGTTATCTTATGTTAACTCACTCATCAAAGAAATGGTGAGCTTTAATTAGGCTCACAACTACATCACAGAATTACCAGTCTTGCAAAACCAAGCCAGTCCTAATTTCATAAACTTTGATTTCTACTACATAAACCTACAGTAAAATCCATAAAGATTAGACAGTCCTGCTTATAAGTTACCAGTCCCTGACTGGGGGAAGGGTCCTGTTTCCAACACTGGAACCAATTTAATATGTACTCACATCGAAAGATAAAGTGAATACGCTTCACTTAGCAACGTTATCGATTGGTATTTAAAACCTACATCTGTATAACTTAATAAAAAAAAATGTAATATATAGAACTAATCATTAATGCTTTATATCACTAATCACTTTTCTCATCATAAAAAAGTCATCAGATGTTGAGATGAAGTTCTATCATAGTGTAAAATATTTTTCAAACAGTGATTGAGAAAAGCTATTCCATTTTGAGAACACAAAGAATACCATTCACTAAATGCTCAATAATGCATCGGTGGGATTGAGATTGTAACGTTTAGCCCAGAGTATTACCTCACGAGCCGTCTCATCGTCTTTCTGACGGCCTACTTTCGTACTAGGTAGTCAATTTTACTGCTGAAGGCAGACATACATTTATTTCAGTGAATAAATGTATGATATGCACGATTTTTATTACTTGTACTTTTTTACTTGACTCATTTAAAAAAAAGTCAATGTCCTATTCTAAATAATCTGTAAAAATCTAAGATAAAACCGCAATTAAAATCTGCATCTATGCACTGCCATGATTGAATGTCTAACAGAATTTCAAATATCCTCAAGAAGGTAGTAAGTAAGGTATCTGAATGTACAAAAATGTCAAAATATAACACTTTTTTACTATTCAGAATATCTAATTATAATCTATAATTTTTGTAAAAAAAAAATTGGGATAGCATATCCCCAGACCCCCCATGAGAGAAGGTGAGTGCCTTTGCCACTCACATTTCTAAGACACAATTTGTTCCAGTCATTTGAGACTCATACTTGCTCAATCCTGGCTTATACCCTGGTTTAGCCATATCTAGGAGAGCATATCTTCATCACATTCCCAAGTAAGAATAGATCCATGTTCTTCCTTGCATCTATGCAACAGATATCAATAATTGCATGACTTTGCAAACACACATAACTAATAAACATGATAACTGATGCAAATGGACTCACCACTTACAAATTGCTCCATACACCCGTATGAAGCATGAATAGCTATTTTGGTTTGTTTCCGGGTCACAGGACTTTAATGGCGAGGACAAAATCACCTTACGAGTCTTCACTCGATTCTTCATCCGTAGACTCCATGTTGTCTTCTTCCACAAGCATCCTTTCTAGAGAGTAGTCATAGCAAAGGTCTTGCCAGCGTGGTTCTTTTAAGTGTGGAACAGATAACTGTTGCATGCGAGTGATATCAGCTGGACTGCATAGCCTCTCCGATAGAATTAATGGAACTCCAGTAAGGTAGGTGAGTTCTGTATGGCCACAAGTGGGCGATACTGTTAAGTTGTTCATCTCCTTACTGACGGTTGTCACAGAAGGCATGTCTTCATTTCTTGCAGACTTGTGGGGAATTTCAGGTGCCTGTCTGAGTTTGGAGTAGCTAACACTCATCTCCGATTTCCCTAAAGGAGCTATAAGGTTAATAGACGAAATAAAAAAATTAGCACATCTGTAACACTTCATTGTGACCACTACTATATTTGACTTGTGTATTAACTATGGTGTATTACTGCAAAAAAATAATCATTTAGGATCTATGATATAGCAACATCAGATTTCATGTTTAGTGGTTATTGCAAAAGATTTCCTAAAATTCAACAAAATTACTTGGCATCTTTTGTACTAAAAAGGATGTTGATATCAGATCATGAGCATACCATTCTACATCTAACGTGAGCCTAAATCTATAGATAGATGACAGGTCTACCATTGTAATTCCAATCACATAAAAATCAACAACGCCTTGATTCATATCCAACTCCACTTCCACATAGTTGCTTATCATGTTCAAACAGATTTTGCATTCACATTTAATAATTTCCAACATCACAGTAGTTAAGAACTTTAATGTTTGCTTAAATTGAATACATTCCTGTAAAATAATATTGTGGAGTTTAAACTTTAGGCAATTTTTTATTATTCTGCTTTATTATGAAATGCAAAGCTTTGATTAAAAATTATTCCACGGTTTATTTTTTTAAAATTGTACAAACATACACTTCGTAAATCTCATTACATGGTTATTTAATGTGGTTAGTTTAAGCAGTTTAAAAAGCTCATTCAAACATGCATGCCAAACCCTGTCCCTATACAATATAAAAACATTACCATTTGACTAATAAATTTGATCCTACTCAGCTGGGCATATTGTAAATGATAATAAATGCATGATTATTTAGCAAGACAGACCAATAAATTTTGCCCTAGAAATTTTTATAATCTGACACTATTTTAGGGCCCAATAGCCTTCTATAGACAAATGTTTTGAATTTTTTACATGACAAGTTTTTTAGTGTTTATGATGCCCGTAACATTGAAATTCTAATAAACCTCCGCACAATTCATTTTATTCACAACTTACTTACACCAGAAAACACCTGGCATGCTTCTTAATTACATTCTATCACCTTTTATCTTGAAAAAAACCCATGGTACCAACTGGTCAAACTTTCGTTAGAATGGAAATTATTAATTTGTAATATTTCTCATCTCGTCTGCTCATGGTATGTATGAAGTCATTCAGACCAAATCGTTTGGACCATGGTTCCTAATTGTGGTACTTTGCTAATAAATCAATAAATTTTTTTGTAACATTTTTATCAGGGCCGTAGCCTGCGCGGGGGGGGGGCAAGGGGGGCAGCTTACCCACCAACCAATAAAATCATCACTGACCATGCAGGGCATTTAAGGTAAGATTGTAAGTCCTATTCTGACGATGTTTGGAAAATTTTTATGTCATAATATCTATACAAGATAAAAAGCTATTTGGGAAGCTAGCGAAATACATAGCATGTGTTTTGTGATGTAGGTAAGATGTTATTAAAGTGTGCAGATATTTCTTTTAATTTCAATGTTACACGGTCAGAAACATTACAAAAGTTGTTACATAAAAAGCCACAACATCTGTCTATGGAAAGATAATGGGTCCTAGAACAGCGTCAGATTATAAACAGGGACGTAGACCGAGCAAATTCCTAGGGGGGCCAGTGGCGGATCCAGGATTTCAAGGTGGGGTGAGAAACAGGTGGGGGGTCTGTGGGTCCTCCCACAGGAAATTTTGAAAATGTAGATTGCAGGAGATGGTATTTGAGGCACTTTTGCGTACATGTTATGTGCAGCCTTCATTCTGACTACGACAATTCTCTTTTAGAACTTTTTTTGCTGGAAATTTCATGAATTTTTGGCTTGAGCATAGAGATATATCTCCTCTATAAATAAAACAAGTGATTGATTCGATTCATTCTGCCAATAAACGTTTAATACTTTCACTAGAGCAAT